ACTTCTTCCTCTAAATTTTGCCCTCGCAAGGCTAACACAAAGCCTGCTACGTTGGAATGGCTCCTTCCGCTTCTAAATTTTACCCTCGCGTGGCTCACAAAAGGTTTGCTACCTTGGAATGCAACCTTCCTCATCTAAATTTACCGTTGGGTGGCTCACAAAAGGTCTGCTATGTCTGGCGGTAAAAGGTCTAATGCTTCACAGGATGTATGACCAGGAGATTTCCAAATCACCCTTAACGCGCCTTGCCTCGAAAGAAAAGACCCAAGAACCCGAAGACCAGGACAGAGGACCAAGGACCAGAGGACCAAGAAACCAAAGGACCAAGGGACCAGAGGACCAAGGGACCAAAGGACCAAGGGACCGAAGGACCAAAAAACCAGAAGACCAAAGTACCAATGGACCACAGGACCAAGGGACCAGGACAAAGGGAGCAACATGTTTTTTTTTGATACGAATTAATCCCGAGTACCTATTAAAAAACGGACCCCAATTTAAAAAAAGTCATGCCGGATCCCCCAAATTCGGTTTATATGTGGTTTTAAATTGCCGCCCTTTCAAGCCGCTACTAAACTACCAACATGGTCGATTTTGGGGGTAGTTTTTTTAATTAGGCTCCAAAAACAACCGTAACTGCCCACCTCTGTCCGCCCTGTCTATCCACCATGACACGCCGCGCTTACACCAGCAGGCTTTCCTTCCCCCAATGGCACGGACTCACGCAAACGCACTTGCCACCGAGGTCATGCAACACCGCATGGCACAGCGACATCACCTTTCGAAAGCTTTAGCTGTTAGTCTACTGAAGAATAACTATTCTAATGGAGAAAAGGAAGACCCTTCGATCTGGAGCTTTTTTGCATTTTTGATACGAGTTTAATAGAGGATTTTATATAAAACTTTACGGATTTACTTTTTGGTTTTGAAGCTCTTCCCAGGTGACCCTATTTTGGGCCCCCCGATTTCAGGGACCCCCTATTAGAAAAAATGCGACCGAGGTTTCCTTATTAGGGGCGGGGGGGGTACGTGTTTTTTATTAGGTGGACCGGATTAATGTTCTTGTTGATAGGAAACAAAATGTTTTTCATAGGCTAGGTATCGCGACCCCCGCGACCCGACCCGGCCTACGCCACAGGCGTCCTTTTCGCCCACGACGGACTCCTTGGAGCCCAACGGAGAGAGTGCGTTGGCCGGGAGAGTTTTGGGTCATAGTCCCCCAGGCGTTATTCTTTAAAGTGTCTTCGTCCCCTTTCTTGCTCGGGCTTCGCCCCACATGGATCCCATTCACCGGTAGCAAAGCATCCGCAGGATACACGGAAGTCGACGTCGACGCAGCGCCTCTCACCGCCTCGGGGGCGACCGCTGCCGAGTCGTTCTGAGCTGCGCGTCGGTGGACGAGCCGTGCGTCTCCGTCGGTGTGGGAGGAGTCGAGATGCGTAGGGTGTTTTAAAAAAATCGTTACAAACAGGCAGAGTCATGTATATAAACAGGGGGGTATCCCCCCTAGCTATACATTCACAGGGTGGTATACGGATCATTCTGTAGTGATAAAAAAGAATCAGGGCCTCCGGGCCATGGGGTGTCCAATAATGGGCCCCCCCAGAGGTCAAGGGGCCACCCCAAACAGGGGGCCCTGGTAGATGGAGGCATAGTTTCCAATTCAATACATCTATATAGATGTGGGGATCGACCTGCCACCATCTATGACTGGGGGTCTATAAAAAATATATATATATATATATGATACATGTATACACATTATATCCTATGACCAGGTTTCATCATGGGGCCTGGTTGCAGGCCGACATCTCTAAAAGAGTGATTTTCCTTGTTGACTGACTCTTACTGTACTGGGACACACCCCTGAAATGCGGGTGTTCAAGAACTATCCGGGCTCCTATGCTTCCTGATGCATGAAGCTACATCAATCAAGCATTCATGCAGAAACCTCCTAAATGTTGGACTGTTGGACCATCACCCCGCAACCAAACCACGGTTGCATGGCTTCAAGTGGCTTCAACTCTTTGTAAGCCTCTCGTGCTCCTCATCCCTCCCGGACCGCGCGCCCCGCCCCACCCTCCAAGCTCTTCTGAAACGTCGGATCGAAGTGCGGCCTCGCAGTGCGGACCGAATGAACATGCCATCTCAGTGGTTTCGGCCCCCCTACAACCCCTACATGTCTTAGTCTTAGACAGATGGGGTCCATATTCATATAAACCACCAAGCTTGGGGTGCGATCTCTCACCTCGAGAAAACCCACTGCACACTGGATGACCATTACATGGATGGCACTGGACCAGTCAGTCCCTTTGGACCGGTTCTCGCAGGGCCGAATCGGCGCCATCCCGTGGACCGCCTACTTTTAACTGGAATGTGCCTACTTACAGGACGTCCATTTGCATGATGCCAGCACTGCACATCGTCACAACATGGTGGGTTCCTACTTGGGCCCTGCCTCCGTTGAAGGTCAAAAGTCGGGTTTATGTTGCAGAAATCTGGTCCTTGCAAACAAGGAAGTCTATTGAAATTAATTTGTTGTGGCTCTACCTGTTCTCTTGCTGCTAGCTGCTCCATATCTGGACGATGCCTATCTCAGCATCCCTTAGCTGCCTTAGCCTTCATCAAACCCAATGGGCTGGCACCACATGCTCACACCTTCAACTACTCCCCTTCCCCTCGACCTGGCGCCTCCCTTCCCGTCTCACCCGCTTCACTCTTAGCCCGTGATTTCACGCCTGTGCCCACCAGGAAGCAGGTGGCCCACCTCGTGGCGTTGACCCTTGTGACCGTCTTGAGTTCTCTCACCGCATCTGAGGCGGAAAAGGGTGGATGACAAAAGCTAGGGCAAACTCCAGCTGGTGCTAGCTTTCATGAAGAATACCGGTGCCTTTTTTGGAGGGTTCGTTGGTCTGGCGCCCAGCAGTCTCCATGAACGAAACTGTGGCGGAAATGCTGGTATAACATGGTTCGAATATTGTGTGGATCGGATGGGGTACCAGGATTGGCCATCCTGGCGTACCTGCGCTGTTTTGAACCCCTGAACGAGCTGTTACCCCAATCTTCCATAGCCACTGACGAGCAGATGTTCAAACTTCAAACCATACTTTTTGCGGACTTATCGCCATTGAAATCCTGCAAGTCAAGTGCTATATAGGTAATCACACCGCGGACCACTTACTGAAAATCATGTTCCTTCATTGGAACTATGCATCTAAGTGTGTGTGTGTGTGACAGTGCTGGAGGTACAGATTTCATTCCGGTGGGAGCAGCCGAGAATTGCGTCCCGTGAGCGATGCTACATCCTAACACAATGTGCAAACGCGTACTGGTGCCTGACTGATGGTTTCACTGTGTTCTTGCTTGATCACGATTACGATTTGAAACCAGACTTTTGGTGCAGCTGTGAGTCCTATCTCAAATCCACCAAGGCGCGCAGCAGTTGGCGTGAGGCGATAAGCGCCGGTGGAGGTTGCCCGGCGCTGGGAAAAGCGTGCCTCACGTGGGACGTTGCAGCAGTTCACATTTGGGAGGAGGCATCTAACATCATCTAACTGTAACTAGGGGACCCTCAGCTATATGTTACACCAAGTAATTAGTGGCGTTGGGCAGTATATAGATGCCTGGAACATACCTGGCATGCCCAGAAAAAAAACTGACATTTCACTTTGGGGGGCAAACCGCTAACGTGAACGCCTTTGAAGAGCATGTTCCTCTTTGACGTCCGTTTGAAAGCTCGTGACACGAAGTTTGGATCTACATCCGTCTATGGCTGCCAGACCTTGACTCCCACTGCTGGGTGTTTGATCATGCTTCATCCTTGCACCCCTCCGTGAACACGTACAAGGTCGACCGTTTCCAGAACTCCAATTTTTGCCAGACCTTCCCCTCCGCTCTCCTCTCTGCCATCTGCCACCTCTCGAAGCTCAGCGCTCGGAAACCTGAGAAACGAACGCATGCCGTCCAAACCACGGCGGTCGTTTTCACGTAAGTCGAGTCGCTGGAGGTGGGTGAATGGATGTTGAACGGTTCATTGTAGCCGCAACCCCTGGATGGCGATGGCGGCCGCGACCGCCGCTAGTGAGTCATCCTGCATGGGCTTCTTTCCTTTTATCACTGGGGTGCCCACAAGATCCACAATGATGGGGATCCTCAAGTTCTTCTCCTCTGCAAGCTTGCCTCCAACCGCCAACCCCATACACCTCACGCCATTTTTCGCTTCGCAAGTGGAGCTGATCCACAAGTCCTTGCCAAGGATAGCTGCTGTCTTGTAGCAACCATGTTGGTCCTCGCTGTGGTCAATCACCTTGCACTGTGATCCAGGCGTCACATCTTCTGGTCTTTTGCATAGTTTTGCATTCATGATCTTCGATATTCTACTCCAAAAAAGTATCTGCCAGGGTCCTACGTCCTGAACAAGGATGTTCCAAGTTCCATTCCATGCTCTTCATTTCCCTGCGTGAAGCCCACCTGGCCATTCAAGTCCACCCAAAGAGAGGCCGCGAGCGGCCTGCAGGGCGCGGCTGCGGACGATGGGAGACCCGTACGTGACATTCTCACCAAAGACCAGTACTTCACCTGCCCATATCTGTCCAAAAGTGCCAATTGAATTTCTTTTGTTGATGGATTCCGGCCAATGCCAATGCTTGAAACGGACTAAAAACATGTCTGCAACCAATGGGGTGAAGAACGCTGGTCGCCCTCAACCAACTGAGACAGGGGGGTAAAAAATGGTAAGAACTGGTGCTGCATGTCTTTTGGTGGGTTCATCTTTTGTGCATACAGTAGATCAGAGTGTCTTGCACATGTCGGACACTGTTTCACAGTGAGCGTCCGATGTGAGAGATAGTAGGAAATGGTAAGAACGTGAGGGAACACTGATCATCTTGGGGTCAAAAGCTGTTGCTTGCTGGAACCCCACTTATTGCAAAGACCGACCAGAAGATCCGAGCAGTAGTCAAGCCGGGAGGGACCAACTGTGGAACAAACAAACCTCGAAAAACCGCCCACCACCTGTGGAGTGCACCCTTAACAAGGGCCTAAACTACCACCCACGCTTCGGGTGCTGGATGGTTTTTGGGTGGCACTTCTCCCAAAAAACATCTCATCCCATGAAGGTCTTTTGCTTCATTGCTGCTGGCATCTGTACACTGTGCACACTGTAGCCTAGCTTGATCGGATTCGCTGGCGGATTCGCATGGATTCGCTGGCACCTGGCACCTGCGCAACCATGCTTCGTCACACGGCCATGGCCAAGGCCAAAATGGCAAGGCACCCAAGAAGTAAGGCCCTTCCTGGCCATCACGCAGAATAGAAGAATTGTTCAGCATCATCACCCCCGTTGGATGATTGGTCCTTCCTTCAACGCCGCCCAGGGTGGCCCACTTCTCGGACACGTCGCGAAGACATCGTGCAGCGACGGTGCCAGGCCACCCCCAAAGGGATGGCCCCAAGCGATGAGGGATCCATTCAGTGTCAGTGCTGCAAAGGCGCTCGCTGAACCGCAGACCTGCAAGACCTGCTGCAGATCGGCCTCGGGGTTGCGTCGAACGCGCGAAGAAAGACACGCCCGTTCTGCGGCGCGTTTCAGCCGCGCGGTCCAGTGCCTCCAGACGATCCCTGTAGCCACAGGTAGCAGTTCACATCGCCGCGGATGCAACGAAACTTCCCGGTTGGGGGATGTCAGTGGTCTCACCCCAAGGTGAAGATAGTAAAGGTTGAGTGATCAACATAACTGAAACCATCCAGCTGTTCCTGCGGCCGGGAGCCCTCCACCAACGCTGGTCTCTTTCCACACTACATGTATGGTCACCCCAATGTAGACAAATATGGCAGTGGGTTAAAGGTTGGGGCACCCTGCTTGACCCCTGAAATGAACCGATTCCTCTATTTTGTGGGTGTCACACTAGCATGGCGTGAGTTCCCCACAGCCATGGGAGTGTCCGAGTTTCGTCACTTTCGTCACTTCCACTGGCCGCGAGCAGCGCCTCGCGCGCGATGGCGCAAATGGGTTGCCCGCTGGCCCGACCGCCAGGAGCCCCAGGACCAGGTGTCCTAGACCTGACCGAGCCAGTCCCACTTGATGACTGGGTTCAGATGCAGAATGCTTCCGAGCTACTGGACAGCTGTTGCCCCCATAGAGCTCAGTACCCCAGGTCACCACACTTCCATCAGACCTCGTTGCGGTGGAGGTGGGAGCAATAGGTCCAAAGTCCCCGCACAAAACTTTGTGAACAAATTCATCCTGTGCATTCATGCTGTGGGAAGCTCCCTGAGGAGAGCTATCAAGAAGTGGATCTATATCAATGAATTGGGTCTATCTATCCTATTACCTGGGCCCCGTGGATGATGATGGTTAGGTTGCAGGCCTTGTTCCAAAATGATCCTTGTGTACAGGTCCTACAGGTCAGAACAGGACAAACCCTATCGGCCAACGAGCAGTCCGGTGTGTCGGTTTCGTTCGAACGAAAACCACCGCGGTCTCGAGAAACACCACGGGGCGGCCCCCAGCGGCCCGGACACTTCGGTGTGAACATGGGTGAACACCCGAGGTCCCGCAGACTCCGCGCGAGGTCAGACTCCCATGAGAGGTGTTCAGGGTGTCTTGCCGCGTTTGCGAGCTAACGGTTGGATGAACATTCAGGACCATTTCGGATACAGTATCTAAATGAAACACCACAACCCACAAATAAACATAACAGAATATTCAAAAGTGGACGGTGGTGATCCACAATGGCTCAAGACTTGCTGATCACTGAGTGACTTCAACGCAGCGAAGGCTCCTGCACGGCGGATGGGGCGGCAACACATACAACGACTCAACGACTAAACATATCAAACAAATCAATCAATTAACATGTTTCACCAGTCCGTGATCACCATACTGTTCCTGTCTGCTAGCAGCGGGGACAAACATGGCAATCCAAGCCCATGAATCAACAACCAGTTCATGCATTCCAAGTTAAGCTTCCGTCTGGAGGTGGTTGCTGTCGCAACTTGCTGCAGAATGCTGCAGAAATTGCAAAGATCACCCCCCTGTTCACCTAGTCGCCAAGCGAGAGCATCCTCGGCTTTGGATACTCGAGAGTTCTGCTCAGAACTGTCCAATCAAAACAAAGCAAGACACGGAGCTCCTGAAGAGGCACTGACCTCAACGACATCCCTCAGATCGGAGACTTCTGTGTTCCCCCATGCCACAACGACTCCATCCTTTCTCAACGCCACGAAACTGTTCCTGGGCTCTGAAGAGGTGGTGATCGCGGGGGAGTTAGGGGTTCGACATGGAACTTCAGGGTGGCAGGACCGCTTGGCCATGCCCATACACTCACCAATACAAAATATATATATATATATGCTGTGTATCTGTGTGTAATAGCAAATATATATATATATATTAATCACTATTATATATATTATACATGATATATTATTGCATGCACAGTGGTAGCTGGAACCTGGGGTTTCTGCGGTCACTTTTGACCATTGCGTGCTCGGCTTGAGCCAACGTTTATGGCATCAGCTTTTGACCAAGGTGGTCTTCTCGAAATGCACCGACCACATATTATGTTGGTCAAAAGGTGCTTGCAATCATGAAAACTTCGTGGCCACCTCCTCGCTCTGCGAGTTTGCGCTGTAGCGCGGCCCCCTCTTCCAAAATGCTCCATTTTCCGGAGGACATCACTTCTCTCAGAAAGTCACCTCTGGTGTCTTTCGTGAGGGAGTCAGCTAACATGGTTCGTCCATCCACCCATCGAACTCGGCCGTTCATCTCGTGGACCTCCTGCTTGATGAGTGAGATGTCGATGGACGTGCGTTTGTCCTCACATTGTGATGCCGGGTTGGTGTCCTTATTGATGGTGTCAAGTAAGGACTTGGAATCAGTCACGCAGATGAATGGAAGGCGTGCCACCTCGGTTTGCCACTGGCGAGCTGAAAGGGTCAATCCCTTGGCTTCAAGGATCAGGACCCTGTACCAGTGAACTGAACCTAGACCTCGAACCAATGCCTGGGTCTCGGAGCTGAGCGTGTTGACCGTTCGCCTTTTTAGGCGGTAGCTTTTCCAAGCTGCCAGGGTGACATTCTGCAAGGATTGAGACTCTGGTAGGTCTCGGTCGTAGAAGAAAGTGATCTCTCCCCCTTGGCTGTACAACTTCAAGAGCTGCTCGTAGCCCCCATGGATCAGCTTTGCTTCTAGATGGTGTCCTTGTGGTTGTTTCTTGAAGGTGGTCGACCCCGTCCACGGCGAAGGTGCCAATGAGGTTATACTTGATGAAGATGTCCACTCGTCCTGGAGGACGTTCTTGTTGTCATTGATCTGGATCTCAGTATATCGATCAGGTAGTAGATCATGAAGATCTGGTCCATTTGGCGCCGCTGCCGGGTGAAATCCCGTGACTCTAGGAATTTGATGGTGTCGTATCCATCGGTCCGGCAACTCCTCCCACCAGTCTGTCTTGGAGTCCTCGAGGTATTGTCCAAATTCTCTGGCATTTCCCCAGGCTGCGTCTGCGACGACTCCGGCGTGGAGCCGTTCAAGAGGGATCGGCATCACTCGAATGCCCAATTGTGGGTTGTCCAGAGCTTCCTTGGCGATGACGTTGGCCATGAGAATGTCCCGGATCAGAGGTCTCGGAAAGGATTGTTGCACCAGTGCTATCTTTCCTGCAAGGTCCGCTCTCGTCTCCTTGGCTACCCAGGCCAAAGTGCCCAGTAGTGCCCGTAGTTGTTCAATCTCCACCGGGGTGCATTGGGAGTACTTTCTGCGTTTTCGTTCTTTGGTGATGGGCACTTCTTGTACTCTTGCTTTGACGTAGAACTCCTGGTCGATCCTGATAGAGCCGTCGGTAAGAGGTGTGAAGTCCTTACCGACGAATCTTCCTTGTCCCCAGGTGTATTTCCCCAGGGTATACCTCTTCCGGAGGGTTTCCATCCGTTCCATGTGTCGTTGGGTTCCTCCATGAAGTAGATCATCTGTAGCCAGAGCGACGATGCCCTCGATGGAGTTCAGGTCCTCTTCCTCGTGGTTCTCCACAATGTTCTCCTGGTCCAGGAAGAAGAGACATGGGTCAACAATGGACTGACGATATCCCAGTTCTTTGGTGAGGTACTTCACGATATGCTTGAACCAGGCGGATGGACCATCTGTGAGCCCATAGCAAGTCTTCTTCAGTCTGATCAACTGATTGGGTTCCACCCCAGGAATTCCTTCTCGTGGTAGTTCGGCATAGAGTTCTCTGTTGATGGCATCTCCACTATGAAATGCCTGGGTGAAATCTGCATATCCTGGTTGCCAACCCTTGGATGCCAGGATCTGTGTGGCGAACACGACCGAGTCACGATGAACTTGTGGAGTGCTGGTCTCCAGGCTGAGAAGATCTGGCTCGCTGAACCCCATCATTACGTGTCGACATTTTGCTTTTGTTGGACCCTCACTGGCGTTGGAGTCTAGGATGATGTCGGACGACTTGGCATCCTCCAGGGCGAAGTCCTCGATGGGCTTGCACGTGAAGACATAGCGCGACTTCATGATCTTGTCGGATTTATTTCTTCGGACCTGAGCGGATTCGGTTGGTGACAAGATCTCGTAAGCCCCAGTTCCAAGGTTGTTGTTGATCTCCTTGTGGATTGCTTGTTTGAATCTCTCCAGGTCCTTTCCCGTGAAGTCTTTCAGGGAGCATTCCCGATTTTTGCCCGGTCGAGTGTTTCCACGAGGTCCAAGTTGAAGGTGTAGAGCCTCGAGAAGTTCCAGCCGGGATTTCTTCATCGGTGGAATGTTCTCCCAGCGGTCCTCAGTGTGTTCACTACCTGGTCGTTTCTCGGCCTCGTCACGTGACAAGGTCTGGGAAGGAGCCAATGACGGGGTATAGGTAGTCAGCCCCGCCGATGCATCGCTGGGTAGTCCCACTTGATGAGGGAGGAGTCCAGGAGGTGGTTCCATTATTGCTTCTTCATCTTCTAGAACTGGTGAAAGTTCCAATTCGGGCGTGTTGTCCAGTGAAGCGTTGGATTCAGCTGGCGTCTCTCCCGTCGGTTTGGCCGCCTGTTCCTCCTTAATCTCATTGCCATCTGAATCCATAGTTGCCTTTTGTCGCACTCGTCGGAGCGGAGGTGGCAACATGTCTGTTCTCTTGATCCCCTGAGCTGGTAGTACTTCTTGAAGTCGAAACCATGTCTTTCCAGTCCATGACTTCACTGGCGGTGACCTGGCCAAGTCAGAGGAATCCTGCCACGTAGTTTCTTCGACCTGGACGCTTCTGTCAGGGAGGATCATTTCGTGGCGGCACCAGTCATCAAGGTCCTCGATGTTGAAGGGCAGTGGCTGTCCGGACGGATCTGCTGGATGGAAGTAGGTGGACCTTGGGCTCTCATGTACTCGAACCCAATAGCTCCCCAGCTTAGTCCAGTAGTCATTGTTACTTTCCGAATCCTCCGGCGGGGTGTCCTGTTCTTTCTTCAAGTCGATCATGCCCTTGACCTGGTCAGTCTCGAATTGTCGCTTCGCGTGTCCAATCCCTTCAAGCCATCCGGAGAGCGACAGGTGTTCTTCTTCTGATGCGGGACGAAGCTTCTCCGGCGCGGCCTTGATGAGATAGTGATTGTAGGATAGCCACACTGTGGTAGGCAGTTGAACTGCGATAACACGGGCTGGTCCATGCGAAAAGGCATTCGCTGATCTTCGGGCGGGATCTGTACCTCGTCTCCAGAAGAAGACTGCCTGACCGGGTTGATAGTCGTAGTGAGGTCGAGGTCCATGTGTGGCTGCAGCACGAACTGCTTGCCGGCAATCAATTTCATGAAATGCTTTCAAGGCACTCTCGCGGATGTCCATGGCTTGTTGAATGCCTAAGTCTCCGGCTGCACAGCGACTCTGGACTGCCAGGTCGTCACTTCCTTCAGACATGAGTCCTCCTGGGATTCGCTGTTGGTACCCGAAGACCCGCTGAGCTGGTGAGAAGCCACCCCGACTCAGTAGTCTGTTTTTGGTGTGGCAAGTAATGTCAATGACTTCCTTCCAGGTGTCCCAGGATTTGCTCCATGACTTTATAAGCCATCTCCTTGAAGAGTTGTCCCTGTCGCTCCACGAAACCCCTCTGTTCTGGGGTTTCCAAGGAAGAGGGTAGTAGTTCGGTGCCGTCTGCCTCTGCGTAGTCTTCAAATTGTTTTTGAAATTCTCTTCCAAGGTCACAGAGCAGTTTGCGAGGTGGGCCGAATACTTTAATCCACTGCCGGTAACCCTGTCTGGCTGCCAGAGCGGTGTGATCACTGAGTGGGACTACCATTTGGAAATGTGAGGCATAGTCACAAATATTCAAGCAGTATTTTGTCTTCTGCGAGAAACCCGTCCTCATTTGTATGGAGTCTACTCCAACGATTTCATTGAGGCCGACTTCTTTTGGTGGGGCTCCAGCTCTAGAAGGTTTAGGCCTCTTGAATTTCTCACACACTGAGCATTTGAGGTTGCGGGCGATCTCCAAGACTTGAGGTGAGGCCTTATTGCTCTTCAAGATTCTGATGAAGCGCTCTTGTCCCGGGTGTCCAAGTCCTTCGTGTGCTCTCTTGACCAATGCCGGCAGTGACAAAGGATGACTGCCTGGAAAGTCTCCCTTTCCTCCATGGTCTTCATCATCGTGATCACCTTCAGGTTCTTGAGAATCGATGGCGTGGCATTCTGCAACTCCCACGCCAAGGGGTACTGCTTCTGCCACCCAGGTTCGTACTGCATCTCCCACAGCACGCGAATTCAATTGGAACTTCTGAGTGAGCTGCTCGTCAATCATGATGATGTGGGATGCTTGAACGTGGTGAAGTTCCGAAGCGTTCAGCCCAATGCTAGCAGCGTAGGTGCCGAGGATGCACTGGATGAGAAGTTTGGGATAGCGTTGAGCCATCCGTGATCGGTTGTCCGTATCTCCTGGTGCACGGCCGACTATGTGCTCATGCTGATGATCTCCATGGCACGTCCGGTTGAGGCTCGTCGCAAGATCTAAAAGGTTGGTGAGGAAGCCTGATCGTTTTCTCATGGGGTTGCCTTGGCTGCTAACCAGTCCAAATTGACATTGGTCCACTCTAGCTAGGTAACTGTCCGGTTGTTGCACCAGTCGTTTTAGGCATGGTTCACTCCATGACGTTGCTCCCCATGGGTGTTCAAATACGTAGGTCAGATTGAGCTCTCTGCATAGTTGACAAACTTCCACACAAAACTTGAGCAGGTTGCGAGCGCGGCGTAGTTCTCTCAAATGATCATCGAACAGCCTGGAATTGGCATGCCGCGTCCGAATGGAGAGATGTTGCAATGTGCTGAACATGGTGCAAGGTGGCGCTAACAGCACTAGTCCCGGTCGCTCCGACTTGATGTACTGTACCACATGTTGCTGTGATTGAGTGTTCAACAAATCCCAACCCAACACAATGTCGAAAACTTGGCCACACCGCAATCCAAAATTGTCCGCTTGCTTATTGAAACACCCCGGGTTGCAAATCTCCATCACCGTGCTCAACTGTTTTGCATCCATGCTGAAAAGCTCCTTATAAGTCTTGAGCTGGTGACTGTCATGGTGGGCGGCCTTCCGGATTCGAGAATAAACTTCTGCTAATGGTGTTCCCATGGGTTCTGAGTGGTCCATGCTAAGTAATGAGTCCAGCTCATGCCAGAGTCGTTCGGTTTGCTTCAACCTGCCCACCATGTTGTGTCTTAGTCCATTTGTCAGGCTGCGCTCACTCAGCGGTGTTGGCGACGCTCCTTGCTCCCCGCTTGGAGACGCTTGAACCTCTGCCATGCCTGGAAGTCCTCCGGTTCGATCATCTCGATTGGATCTACCGGGACTGGTGGTTTCCACGACTGACATGGTGTGCCGGAAGCTGTTCCCCTTTGTTGACTCCTCCATTGAAGAAATTCCTGGTAATCGTACTCCTCCACTGGCGACGGGGTCCCTGGAGCCAGCGAGGGTGTGTAGCTCCTTGATGAGGTGGATGCTGCCTTCTGATCCTTGGACTGATTGTGCATCTTCCCCGTCTCGGTGATCTCGTCGATGAGCACCTTGCCACACTCCTTGCAGGTCTCCCTCACCCGGAATCCGTTGCTCCCCTGTTTGGTGGTCTTCTTGTGTGGACACTGTGACTGAAACAGTAGTCGCAGCTCCTCCAAGGTCGGATCGTCCCGGAAGTCGACTGGCGGGTTTTTCAAGTTCTTGGGAAGGTCCAACCACTGGAAAAAGCGGCATTGTTGATCTCGTCCTCGGGGGCAACGCCAGAAGAGCCGCTGGTGGTTCTTCTGCGTCATGGAGGTGTACAGCTTGGTCTTGAGCTGGCAGTGGCACTGCGGGGCTGATCGGAGATCCAGTCCCTGGGGGATCTGCCACATATTGGCTTCCGGTCCCGTGGGGATTGCTGCGGTGACCTTGCTCCACTCGGTCGGTGTGTCGGTGTCGGTGGACTGGGATGCCTCCGTCATCGGAGATGGATATCGGGCTCGTGCCTCCTGGAGGCTTCGTTCCTGCAGCTTCTCCCCCAAGTGGTTGACGATCTCGTCCAACTCCTCCACCTCTAAGAGATCGGCAGACTGGATGATCTGTCGGGACCTCATGCCCCGTGGTCCTGGGATGCGGATCTGAGAGAGAGCTTGGTGTCGAAGAGCTTGGGTGATCATGACGAAAAGACGTAGTACCATCCGGTACCACGCTCGAATCATAGAAATGCTCTCCTCTGCCTCGGTGCGGTTATTTTGGGGCGGCTCTGCATGTTCACTCGCCGGACGAGCTGGATGGGACGACCGAGCGGTCTCTGTTGAGCCAGCTGAATGCTCCGTTCGTAATAGCTCATACTCGACATGTTTGCTGTCCTGTGTCCCTGCCAATCGCCGAATTTGATCTTCTGAAAAATCTTGTAAAAAGACTCTCAAGGCACCCGTCGGACCCAAATGACATCTGGCTGAAAAACCCAGTTTCTTCGATCTCAACAGAAGTCCAAAAGTGGGGTCTAAATGTAGTTGAATGCCACAATGCAGGAGGAAGGGCAAGCTGATCAAAAAGGGTGCACTACGACATGGTTCATCTTCAAAAATGGCAGGCTTGAGGTAGCTCCCTCGGGGGCCAAGTGAATTGGGCATAATTGCCACCCTTTCTGTGCACGACGTTTGATGAACACTTCGAAACTGGTGTCGTTCTCGACGAAATCGAATGAACAGTTCCGGGGGCAGAAGGTTTTGGTACCTTTCTAGAGCATCAAGACCGATGGCCATCCGTTGGCACCCCGTATCTATTGTAGCACAACCAGCTTCAACAGAGGTTTCCATAGTAAGAATCTCATGGGTGATGATCGGCGGCACGCTCATGTATACAAACTCCGCTTGAGTGTCCTTGGCGGTCGGGTCGGAATGGCTAGCCGCGTCAGCATCCAGGTAGAGGAACTCAATCTCGTCGGAGGTCTCCGCCGTGATGTAGTGGATGTCTTTGGGTTTTCCGTCTCCTTTGCCCTGTCCCTTGTTGGGACATTCTCGACTCCAGTGACCCACCTCCTGGCATCGGTGACACTTCGTCCGACGTTTCAGTTCTTCGATTGACACTTTGTAAGTTCCTGGTCGAAGGGCTCCGTCACGGCCAGCTCCAAAACCTCGAGCTAGATCACGGTTCTTCTTGGCCTTCATCGCCCCTTGAAAAGATCTGGTACGAGGGCGCTCCTTCAGCATAGTCAGAAGGACCTCTTTAGCCTCGCCCTCGCTGATCTCCGTGGTGGTCTGTCCATCGTTTTCTCCATCGGACATCTCGGCCAAGGTGGTTAGCAACATCTCCGTGTCTTCGTCCTGGACCAGGTCGCCCTCGATGTCCAGAACGTCTCCCTCTTCCTGGACCGTCTCCTCATAGATGGTGTGGACCTCATTGGTGGACTTCTTCTTATCATTTCCGAGGGTGGTGATGTCGAGGTCCGTCTCGTGGATCCGTAGCCAGGCCTTGACATCCGAGACCTGAAGGGAGCCACGAGTGTAGTTGAGCAGCAATTTGATTTGGTCACTTGTCAACTGAAGAGCTGTTACCAGGAGAAAGCCCTGATATTCTCCCGGAAGGTTAACGCCCTTCTCTTTCACCCTGCGTTCTGCGTCATCCCAACGCAGCATAAAGGCCTGAGCCTTCTCCCCTTTGGCTCGGCGAAGATGAAAAGTGATGCGGCTGCACGCCGCCAGCATGGATTCCCTCTCCTCTTCTCCATAGTACTCCTTGGTGTCCATCAGGTTGATGAGGATTCGACCGTTATCGGGATTATCCAACCAACCATCGTCGGCTGCAAGGAATTTCATATGCTCCCAAGGGGGGCCGGTTAGGCCCTTGAGCAACATAGGTCCTCTGGCGGTAGGTGGAGTTCGAGTCGTCCGCAGCCAAAGCTTCGCCTTGATCTTGTAGTCGCGGAACTCCATCTTAGCCCCATCCCATTCTGGAGGAGGACCTGCGGTGGTACGTTCGGCTTCCTCTCGTGCAGCCTGTCCCCAATGTAGTGGATGCAGTTCTGGTTGGGCTCCAAGGCGAACAAAATCGTGTCGTACCGGAGGTGTCACTTGTGCTCCGGTGGGAGGTGTCGCCGGTCCAGCCTCAAGGCCTTGTCGCCATTGCAGGAACTGCAAGTAGTCCGTGTTCACGTTCTCCTGGGCGGGCAGTCGTGTCCACGGGTCGCGACGAACCCAAGGGTCACTCCCATCAGAGGACAGTGATCCAGCACCGGCCGAATGGCCTTCGGTGGCCGCAGGGCCGGTAGGCCTGTTGGCCGTGGTCTGCCAGTTGGCATCCTCGGGAGCAAAACCAGGAGGAGGAGCAGGATGATCCATGGCGCCTATCACGCGGTCCCTGGACGAAACCGGCTCCGCTACCACTGCATGCACAGTGGTAGCTGGAACCTGGGGTTTCTGCGGTCACTTTTGACCATTGCGTGCTCGGCTTGAGCCAACGTTTATGGCATCAGCTTTTGACCAAGGTGGTCTTCTCGAAATGCAATTATACATAGTATTTTTTATGAAAAAAAAACACAGAAAATATCACATCATTACTGAACCCATCGAAGGCTCATCGACGCCGAAATTTGGGAGATGTTGTACAGCTTCTTCTGTACCGACTTGCAATCTCCCCCAGAATAGCTATGCCCCCAGGCCACGACTCCGCCATCCATCAGCAATGCAGCAAATGCATGGTCTGTCGCGGTGATCGCCCGCACCCGTGCTGCTGCCAGCTGGGTAGCAGCACCACCCAGGTCGCCGCCGGAATCGGGGTCGCCCCAGGCTACGACGCGGCCGCTGGGGCAAATCGCCACGAAGGCATTCTCCGAGGCGGCAATCTCCTTGACCTTCGGTTGCGGAACATCCGCCCCGGGCGCGGCGAAGTAGGTGCGAACGCGCTGGATCGCAGGATGCGAACAGCGGAGAGGTTCTACAGAGCAAGGGTGAAGAAGGCCCATCTGGTCCAAACCGCAGACTCCACACCACTCCGCCACCCCGCCTGGCCATGCAGCGTCTTCACCACGGTAGGTGGGGCCCATCCACCGGAACTTGGATGGCCCCAGGTGATCAGCTGCCCGTCCCCGCGCACTGCGGCAAAGGCCTTGGCCGAGGCACTGAGCAGCTGGATGTCATAGAGCTGTGCCTGGTGGCCATCTGAGTGGCGGCTAGAGGTGCTATAAGTTAGATGAGATGTGTGTGTGTGTGGTGATGCGTTTGGCTCCTTTTTGACATGGGTTATATAAGTGAGTTTGTGGAGGATATGTCTGGCTGTAGGTTGTGTTACATGTACGCAAAAGCTCGTTGTTCTACCTTTGTGCCCTTTACATGCTTATGTCATTGTGTGCAACCCTGGGGTTGTTGAGGGTGTGCATTACAGCTTTGTTTAACTTGTTGCCCTGAGTTTGATCGAGTGGTTTGGGCCAGGTGCCTTGGAGTGGTGGTTTTCACCTTGTTCGTTGCCCAGGTCGGGCGACCGGGGCCGGAGGCCCGGCCTCCGACCGGGGCCGGGCCGAGGGGGACACGAAGGGTGCACTCAGCTTATCCAACCACAACGAGTCGAAGAATCTGGTACAGGAATATACACCCCCCAAAAGGAGAACAAAGTCGTGTGGTATGGGTCAGCTATGGGTCAGCTCACCTTCGATTCAAAGCCCCCCCGGTTGATATAATATGAATCAACCGTCGACATGTAGGCGTCGGCTACCTTGTTCACCGCTTGGAAGGTCCAAAAACCCGACCGCCGCCTGCACCCGCTGGCTGTCGCCGCCTTCCTCAGCGTCACCCCAGCACACTACATGCCCATCAGCACGGCGGGCCGCGAAAGCCGTGGACGTGGCCGCAATCCTTGGTGCTGTGCTGTAGGTGTGGGTGGGTTAGTAGGGCATAGCCGGAGATTGGTCTGGGCTGCGCTTGCCGGTGATGAAAACGTCACCTGAAGGAAAAATTCATGAACAATCGCACCCATCATCGGTAGCCCCGGAATACAATCCCAGCGCGGCACACTTCCAAGCATACCTAGCAGGAAGCGGAATTCAAACCGTTCTAACACATGTGAGTCATACCTGGATCTTCAAATTTTCGCAATTTTCTGCCTGGTGCGAAAGATTTAAAAAAACATTGCACGATTGGAAGATCCCAGATCCCTCCACTCTCTTGCTGACCAGGCTCGACTCGACCTCAAAAAGCTCTGACTGCACCGCCGAACAATCACCGCCGGCCTGACCCGTTTTTGCGGCAAGGACTTCCCCGCTGGTTCGCCAGGTGTATGCCTCATCTTCAACAAGGAAGATCACATATTAAACCATTCCAATATTAGTTTTATCGTAAACATTCATAAACCAATACCATCAAATAGACTTCAACGCCTGACAATACATCGAATGCTACCAGCAGGGCTTCCCCACACAAGAAACTCGCCGAATGGTTCGGCTGCACCTCTGGTTTGCCCCAGGTCGTGACGCGGCCGTCGTCGAGGATGGCTGCGAAGGCGTCGCCCGAAGCCACGATCTCACGAACGTTCTGCAGCTCCTGAGGAGTCAACGCGGAGCGTTTGAATCAGAACATCGCGGAGCCCGGAGCTGCATGGTTCACTTCTTTCATGGAAGGGTTGGGTACAAGAAGGCCAGGTCAATTCTATTTGGCGGCACCGGCTTAAGGATATGAAGGCAGAAGAATGAATCCGATTTGCAGGGTGTTTAATCGTGAAAGAGACTTCTGACAGCTTCTGACCATCTCCTCCTGAACGTACTCGCTGTCGCCTCAGCCAGCGGCAACAAAAAAGCAATCCTGTTTGCCACTTGATCGACACAATCTGATTCAGATTGTTCTTAGTTGTTAGTTGTTTCCTTATTTTCCTTTTAGTGATTTTGCTCACAGCCGAAGCGCTTAAACCTAGTGGACCATCACCATCTGCCCTAGCCCCAGCCTCCGGAGTGGAAAGCACCCCAGGTGACCACACGGCCATCGCCCTGTGCAAACGCCACGGAGCGTCGGCTCGAGACCAGCTTCGCGCGGCTCAGGGTGGCCATGACGGGCGCGTGCTCCTCGAGCCCTGCCTGGCGCCGGCGGTGGGGAGGGTCCGGAGGCGGTGAACGAGGCCGACCCAGCTGAAAGTGGGAGAGCCTGTAGCGTGAACGTACTTAAATGATGGCTCAAGGGTCACGACACCAACTTTCCTAGGTGATTAGTGGGCAGACTTCGAAGCCTTGATGTGAACTTCCGCAAGGCCTGAGAGAGCTGATCAAAAAAATGTTTCCTGTCTGGTCAATTCATGTCGGCTTAGTCCTTGGACTGCCTGACAGTATGGTTAAGATGTGGGATCTCGTATGAAATACAAGCGGAGATTCGGTGTGCTATGAGATCCCAATGTTCTCCTAGCAACCAAACCTCTGTATTGAATCGATATTGAATCTTTGGAAATCTTTGGAACTAGGCACTCACCTCCTCCAACCTTCAACTCCAACCGCCTCTGCCAGAGTGGACGTGGAGCACAAGAGTTCACCGTCCGCGCGCACCAAGTGAGAAATGCCTTGTCGGAGTTCCTGCCGCGACTTGTGCGGCGCGGAGTGGACGGCGAGCGGGACACGTGGACTGGCGCCGGAAGGGGCGGGCAGATGGTCATTGCGTGTGACGTTTCCTGGTGCAACTGGCCGCTGCTTGGGCGTTTGGGCCGGGGCCGCGTTTTTGGACGTCCTGCTGCGCTTGGTGCTTCAGGTCTCGCACCAATGCCTAGGCATGGAAGCTGCCCATGCTACTATCAGATCACGAGAAAGAAGGTGGACTTCTGGACCAGTCCACTGTTCATGTCCGGCTGGGTTTTTTGGGACAATGATCAGCAAAACAACAAGGACCCACCTGCCTCAGATTAGATCATCTACACCTCCCAAACCCCGTCCGTTCACGTCTTTCGATAGCGGAGGCCTGCTTTGTTTAACACAAAAACACACCAATCCATCCACAGGAACACGATCAACCAGTGGTTGATTCTCGCTCCGCCAAGTCATGTCTGGCCAGTAAGGCAATGAAAGGCTGCTTATCCTTTACCACAACATCCAATATAATCGAATATATACATCGACCATCTCCTATTTGGAGTAAAGGCTGTTTATTCGTGTGTTCGCCAGAACGTAGGGTTAGCTTGGGTTGCTGCTTTCACTGGCTCAAGTGATTGCAGCCTAGGGACTGCTTTGAATAGGACAGGTGTCATAATGTTGGGTGGGCCATGGCTATCGGTGCTGGGCCTCTCATTGACCCTGGAGCTTGTTCAAGGCCCCCCCGGCTGATTGGGTCTGGTGGTTTTCTTCCAACTCCTCGGATGAGGGGGAGGAGATTTTCCCAGACGCGACCGTGGGCGAGACCGCCCCTCCCAGGATGGCCCCTGAGGAAGGTGAGCGTTCCGCTCCTCACGCGGGAGATGCGAACACTTTCGCTCATGTGTGGGGTCACTCAGTTTTCCATTTTGACATCAGGTCCTGGATGGGACCGGCATGGTTTAGCACCCCACAACAGAAGGGAAGTCTTAGCTCCTCCGGGGGCTGGGGACTTTACTTTCTTGATCGATTTGGACTCGCTACCTGCGGAGAATTTTGGCCATGGATTGCCTGGGGAACCCTACTAGCGCTGATTACAGTTTTGACCATTGGGGTAATCTGTGCGTTGACTTGGGTCTTCCGGCCGATCCGGCTACTCTTTGATTGCTGCACCCGTCATACTCAAGCTGTTGCACGGGAGGTAAGTGATCTTCTGCCTGAGTTGCAGGCAACCCACACTTACGAATCCTTAGCCATCCGAGGCCCCGGCTCCAGGGAAAGTGTTGATAATGACTTCCTACAAAAAGGAGTCAAGGGTCGAGGGACTGAGAGAAAGCCCAACGATGTGGTGCTTCTGCTCAATGGCCAGGCAGCGAGGGTCAAACCCGATTGCGACCACTGGGCACGCGTTGATCGGAATGGGCTTTGGGTTCGGCTGAGAGAAGTTCGAGGTGTTTCCCATCGAAATCTGAGGCAGGTTTTGGAAGGAGAGAGTAAAGTCCACCTTTGCCGGGAAATGCAGTGTAGTCTTGAGAACCACCCTACACCGGGTATACACTGCAAAACCTACGCAGTGGTGGATGCCAACAGTGTGGTAGATTTGGGAGCGTACGCCGGGTGGTCCACCAGGCGACTGATGGTGCTCTTTACCAGACGTTTCAGAAGTGTCGGACGATCCGTCTGGAAGATGGTCGGGGTACTCTCTGGGTGGACGCTCCTTCGATATCTGATGGATACCCCTCAACCAACCCGTACCATCCAGGACCATGGAGGTCTCCGTCCCCTTGACCCTGAGTCGGAATCTGAAGCTGAGGTCCTGGAAGATCCTTGCAAGGCCGTCCTAGTTGGATTGACCCATGGTGGCAAGCCGCGAGCCTTAGCCAATGAACCATGTCGGGATCAAGCGGCTGGGGAGTCGGTCCGACTCCTTGAATGTGACAAGGGTCTTTCCGATGTCAAGGGCAGGCAAGCGGTCCGCTTGTGTGATCACCATCGACAGTTGTATGTGGCAGCATGTTCCGGACGCAAGTGTAGCGTACTCTCATGTTATGAATCACACGATGGAGCCAAACAAGGGGTCCCCCTATGCAAGCATCACCTGATGGATGTTGGTAGCTCGGTGCGCAGCAAACGCAAGGTTACCTGGGAGAGCGACGGGAGCAATCCAGAAGCAGAAGAACCATCCTCAGGAGTTGAAGGTCACTTTGGGGATCAACGGGGGGTCTCTCCTCAAGCCCGCAGTAGCCGCCCAAAGCGTAGAGCTGCCACTAGCCAGCCCAAGGCACGCGCTTCCTCAGCAGGGCCCCAATCTCAGTTCCAGCATCAAGCGGAAGGCAGGCTTCTTCAAGGCCCATGCATCTCACTAATCAGATTCAAGTCCCTCCAGAACGGGGAAGGTCCGCCAAGATGGGTCGCGTTTTTGGGGCGGGTTACTGGAGTCGCTACATCTAGCCGAGCTCAGGAGAAGGTTGAAATTGACATCCCTGCCCTCAAAGTTCAAGGGGTGGTCCACCTCTCGCAGTTGCGCCCCCCCCCCAGGGATGATGGACACGGACGGATTTGTAGGGAATGGATTGATGACTTCCTTCAAGCCTCCCATGAAGAGTCCGTCGGGAAAGGGATTTCATTCCTGTGTAGTCAGGTCACCGAAGAGCAAGCCCTCTTGCTCCAAGCATGGGACGGCCAGGTGACTGATGGCGAGTCTCCCTCGTTCCAATCGGGCAAGACATGGATTTGTAGTCATCTTCAACAGGAGGTTCTCCCTCATGCTGAAGCTTATGTTGTCACACATCAACACAAGAAGAAGGAATTCATGACACCTCCGAGACCGACAGCTGTAGAAGATGGTACGGGAGAAGATTTACCTGACATTCCCCCTTTCCCAGTTGATGATGAAGTGGATACCGGAGCGCGTCTCAATGCAGCACGAGACACATTGTTAGCACACTCACCAGGAGATTTGAGCGCTGAAACAGTGCAAACGGTAGCCACTGCTTTTGAGGTCGATCCGACCACCCTCATGCAGCCGTTCGGGATCCCAAAGAAGCCACTAGAAAGTGCCATTCGACCTGCTGCTCCGGCCCCATCACGTACCCCACCAGGGTTGGAAGGGCCGTTCAAAGTGATGACCCCGCAAATTCCTGCCCCTGCTCCAAGTGAACCCGCCTCGGGCCATGTCCTCGTTATCCCAGGATCCAAGAGAATCCCAAACCCCCTGCTGGGGGCTACCATGCCGGGGCAAGGAGGGGGAGGGATGTCCCTTTTTCCAAAGAGGTCAAGCGGCTCCAAAGGCTTGGTAAAGCCGGCGGTGGGAGGCCACCAGTTTGGGGAAGAAAGAGCAGGAGCTACCTTCGGGGAGAGTCTAGGAGAAGCCACCCAAGTTCAGAACGCTGATAGGATTATCCATGCCATTGATGGCTTGCGTAAAGCACAGGACGAGGAGAAGAACCTCACAAAAGGATCGCTGACTTCAGTTCGGGAAGCCGAAAACATTAATGTTTTCCTCGCCAGAGGATGCGGGACCCTGACGGTGGAGATAGCCCCCGGGGTCTATGGCAAGGAACTTTACCATGCTTGCAAACGCATCGCTATGCATTCTCGTCACATGTTGCATCTCATCAAATGGCCAGTCCTTATGACAAATCGTCTCATGCTGGGCATTGCAGGTTTCTGGTGGGGAGGAGTGGAGCCATACACGGTACACGCCAGTGATTGCGTTACAGCTCGCTCCGAGCAGCTGGACAACTGGCACCCCCCCAGCGACAACAAAATTGAGGGTCGAGTGAAACCACCTGGGGTTTTCAACACCTGGCTCCGGTATGCCGAAAATTCCGTCAGGGTCTTCGGATCATGTTACGGAACCGAGCATGTCGCAGAAAGGATGGAATGCCTTACCGCCCTCAAAGAAGCCCATGAAGAAGATGAACATGCCTTCCCAGCCGCTTACTGCATCGAACTCTACGAGGAATTGGTGGCGGCCTGGGGGGAGGACTTGCGAGAAAGTCGTAGGAAGCTGTGCTCAATTTGCGGAACGGAGAATCCCAGGCTGGAAGACCTCAAATTGCTTGCCCTTGCCCCAGGAGCGGACGGTCAAGCCAACTTTCAATTCCCCAGGATTTGGGATTTGGCCGACCCAGCCGGGTATTACCAGACAGTGGTCATTCCTAGGCAACAGAGGCAGATGTCAAGACTCCTCCATAAGCAGCTTCATGATCAGAACCTGAAGAACACTCGCAAAATTGCCGGAGGTGCAGAGTCAGTCGAAGGGGGAGATGATGATAAACCCGGGAAGGCACCAAAGCTCGTTCTCAAAGATGTTCCGCCCACTTCGGGGGGAGCCCTCCCTTCTGGAAACAAGCCCGCTTATCCGGCGGGGAAGAGACTGCTCCAGTCTGAGGCATCCCGGTCAGTTGAACATGCACCCAAGGACTCAAAGTCGGGAAAACCAATCTGCTGGGATGCAGCGACCCACATGGGGTGTAGCCGAGGCTCCAAGTGTCAGCACGCCCATGAGCCGTTGCCGGGACTTGGAAAGCTAGACTATACAGTTGCCATGCAAGTCATTAGGAGAGGCGGCTTGAAAGGGGGACCCAAAATCGATCCCAAGGAAGTCGATGGGAGGGTCGCACAACTGAGAGCTCAGGCAGCGGCTGAGAAAGCCGAGAAAATGCAGCCAACCCCAAAAGCCAAAGGAAAGGGTAAACCAAAATCCAAAGCTAAGGCTGGCCATGAACCGGAAGGAGGCGGCGATGATGAAGACAAGGCGGGTGAGCCCGATTGGGAGGTCCCAGAGGATTACCGAGTCCCGCTGACCCAACTTGAGGCGGATCTTGAAGAAGCTGTGAAAGGGCCCGATCCGGGCTGGCTAGAAGTCCCTAGAAGGGAACCCCTCTGCTCCGAACCCAGGGATGAGGAAGCGCTCTCTGATGAAGAGAGATCACGGATCCAAAGATGGGAAACTTTGGAGGCCAGTGGCGTACTGCAGACTCTCAAGGACCCCTCCGATTATCTACGATCCCATGTCATCGCTAGGCTCATGGCAGCAGAGGATGCACAGCAAGACGTCGACCTGCCGACCATTCTTGAGGAGGCCGCCGAACAAGGTCATCCGACCCTCGCCGAGGAGGCGTGTCGCCAGCTCGAAGGGTTGAAACACACACCAAAGGCTGGGCATAAAGCTGATGCGGAGTTCGAACCATT